TCTTCTAGTTCCATCCATTTGCCTTCGAATTTCAAGATTCCATTGTTTCCCACCTCCCCCCCCCCCTGCCCCATTGTGTAAATGTACAACATTTTCTGTATCCATTCTCTAGTTGAGGGGCATCTAAGTTGCTTCCAGGTTCTAGCTATTACAAATAATGCCGCTATCAACATGGTTGAACAGATGTCCTTGTAAGAATGTGCATCTTTTGGGTATATGGCTAAGTGTGGAATTGCTGGTGGTAGTCTGATTGCCATTTTCCTGAGTAACCACCATACTGATTTCCAAAGTTTCTGTATATGTTGACACTCAAGCGCTGTTGTTTTGTCTTGTTGACTGTGTCCTTTGCCTTACAGAAGCTTCTCAGTTTCAGGAGGTCCCATTTATTAATTGTTGATCTCAGTGTCTGTGCTACTGGTGTTATGTTTAGGATGCAGTCTCCTGTACCAATTCGTTCAAGGGTATTTCCTACTTTTTCTTCTAATAAGTTCAGTGTGGCTGGGTTTATGTTGACATGAACAAGGGAGAGCTCTTGGTCTCCAGACTGATAGTTGGGAAACCAGTATGAGACTGATCCAGACCCCCTGAATGTGGGTGTCAGTGAGGAGACCTTGGAAATCTATGGGGCCTCTTGTAGTGGATCAGTACTTATCCCTAGCATAGAAATGGACTTTGGGAGCCCATCCCACATAGAGGGATACTTCCTGAGCCTAGACACAAGGAGGTTGGCCTAGGCCCTATCCTAAGGAATATGACAGACTTTGAAGATTCCCCCCCATGGAAGGCCTCACCCCCTGGGGAGCAGAAAGGGTATGGGATATGCAGGGTGTTAGTTGTGGGGGCAGGGGAGGAGGGTAGGGAGAGCGACCTGGGATTGACATGTAAAATAATTTTCTTTCTAATAAAAAAAATAAAACTGAAAATTTTGCTCTTTGTTACATACTTAATGCTTTAAAGTAATTTTAAAATATTCAGAAATAAGCTCATTATTGAATTCATGTAAAACTCTAAATAATATACTTCAAAGCTGTTAGTTTTGGAATATTATGCTCTCAAATGTGTACCTAGAGTTGCTAGTCTCTTCAATTCTGTAATAATAAATTATTCAGATTTTCAGAAAAAATGAGTTTTTATATTGCTCTCTAAATACACAGAAAATATTTTCTGCATGTGTTAATTAAAATCACATCTTTTATTGGTGCAATTACTTGTATAGTTATCCTGCTTCAATACTTGCTTTTTTCTTTGTTTTTTTGATGGTTGGAGGGCCAGTTTTCTCAGCAAATATAACCCCAGACACTGCATTTTCTACAAATGAAAACATAGTTTAATTCTATTTAACCAGCCATTAAATTAAGTATAAAGGACAGAGAATTCAAATTCAAAACCAAATCAAACCCCTGGTTTTAATGACTTTACCTCTATAAAGGAAGAAAAATTTAATGTATGTTGAATAATCTAACTTGCCTCCGATAGAAGAAAACATCCTTTAAAAACTTATGTCAGATGAGGATAGAGTTAGCCCAGTGGTTAACAGCACTGGCTGCTTTTGCAGCCTAACCCTGGGTTTGATCACCAGCACCCACATAGTGGTTCACAACCATCTGTAACTCCAGTTCCAGGAGATCCAATGGCCATTGCAGGCACTGCACACATACATGGTATGCACACATATGTGCAGGCAAAACACCCATACCCCAACACATAAAACAAAAGAGCTCCATGTTTCACAGAAGTAAAACACATGGTTTACTTTTGATTTAGTAGGGATGTGTGTAAGTAAAGTTCTTTACTTCTACTCCCCTGTATTAAGCACTGCTTTTCTACTGTGACCTTCCTACCAGTATTTAGTCGTTTACTTATGGATGAAATGAGGTTTCTATGTTGTCCAGACTCGTCTTGAATTTCTAGGCTTAAGCCATTCTTCTGCCTCAGTCTCCTGAGTAGCAATGACTCCATGTACCTGCTACTTATACCTGGCTATATCAGCATTTAAAACCTGGCCTGTGCTACTCAAACTTCTCCTGTGCTCCATATTCTCTCCGTCTGCACCACATCTTCCCTGTGGCTGAATTTCTTCAAAGAGCCATCTATATATATTGACTTCATTGCCTCTCCTCCTATGTACTCTCAAATTCAAAGCAGTCTAGTTTAGCCCTCACTAACATCACCAGACACTCCCTGTTCTCTCTCACTGGATCTTAACATAAGGTGCTGACCATCTCCTCTCTTTGGCTTTTATGCTCCTCCTCACATCTCCCTGTTCTCGACTCCCCAGACTCAATATAGTACAAAGCAACAGTATTCATTGAGTACTATCACTGTGTGTATTATGCACATAATTGGAAGTTAATTTTGCACATCCAACTTGTCTTTACCCTGTGCATCACTAACCTGATTTGAGGCACCAAAAGCTTTGCCTTTACATTATCATAAGGGCTTTCGTTCATCTCTCTATAATCCATTGTCCTCTTATTTACCAAAAATGTAAACCTAGCATCATTTGCTCAAGTTTTTTTTTCAGGGAGGCTGGAGAGTTGGCTCAGAGGTTAAGAGCACTGGCTGCTTTTTCAAAAGCCCCTGGTTCAATTCATAGCACCCACATGGCAGCTCACAACTGTCTGTAACTCCAGTTCCAAGGGATCCAACACCCTCACATAGACATAATACAGGCAAAACACCAATGCACATAAAATAAAGATAAACAAATAATGAAATAAAGAAAGAGATTAGAGTCTAGAAATTAGCTTTGAAGAGTTCTCAATTTTTATAGCTAATAGCAATAGACATGATTGCCAAGGAGCCTGAGTAAGTATTACCAGAAAGTAATTTTGTGCTTGTCTGTTACTGGACTATAGGACTCTTGAGACAATGGCAGGAGCACAGCTACTTCCTGATTGCTTAATACTCAGAAAAAGTCTGGCACACAGATAGAACATAGTTGGGGTTGTTGAATTAAAGGGTATATAAAAATGCCTTAAGAGCAAGGTGTGATTTATTTAATTTTAAATCTCAAGTGAATCAACACATAAAAGAATACTAAAACAAGGCTAAGGATGTAGCTCAGTTGGTACCAGCATGTAAAAAGCCCTAAATTCCATACCCAACACTACATACACCCGGTATAGTAGTGCATGCCTATACTCCTAGTCAGGGAGTAGAGGTGGGAGGATCAGAAACTGAAGGTCATCTTCAGCTACACAGAAAATTCAAGGCAAGTCTAGGCTACATGAGACTCTGCTCAACAAAACAAAACAAAAACAAGGAGAGAGAACCTGGCCATGGAGGTAGCAGAGGTAGGAGGGCCTCCAGTGTGTGGTCCATGGAGGACTTAGCAAGGCATCTTGTAGTTATTGATACCTTGACCAGAGCTTCAGACCCCCCTTGAATGGCTCCTGCAACAAACCATTTGCCCAAGAAGATGAAGGCAGGCTAGAACTGGTGGTAGTCAGTGATGTTGATCTTTGAGGGGATGGATACCAGCTCCAGACAGGATGATAGGTACTGAAGGGGAGGTCATCAAGTCTTGGGACCATGAAGGTACAAGTGTGCCACACTACTTGTAAAGCAGAATATGCTTATGGTTGGGTGGATAGTCCTCCAAAGATGCCCCAGTTGTGTTTGAGCTAGAGTTGAGTTCATGTAAGAGGACATGACAAAAGATGCAGATGGTTGAATTATTTGTAGAATATGGGCGTGGGATAACCAAGGCCAAAGAATACTCTTTTAGCTTACAACTTTTTATCTGACTAGAAGACAACACTGACTGTGCACATGGATCTAGAAGAATGTTGGTCTCCAGCTTTAAATGTCTACAGTGACTCCCACATCCCTGCATCTTACATACACCCAGTTTCTAAAGACGAGCTTTTGAGTCTGCTACTCAGATCACTCTGGTCCTTTCCAAATTTCCCTGTGAAAATAGCACCGTGTTTCATCCACCCTTTTTCAGTGACATTTGCATAACAAACTGAGGAAACTGAAAAAAAGAGGAATACAAAAGCATATATAATTCCAGAATCACTACTCTGCTCTACCAGTATGCTTTTAAAACAAAATTTTCCAAACTCTTGATTTGACAAGACCTAGGTAAAATTGTGATTGGTTTTTGTACCATAACCATTCTCCCATTAATGGTTTTTCCCCCTTTTTTTGTATTTGGTGTTCAGTATTGAACACATGGCCTTGTGCATGCTAGGTAAGCATGCTACAGCCTAGGTCTCACTTTCATTACCTCTCTTCTCTTAGTGTAAGGAATCAATCATTATTGTTCATTTTCAGTATAGGGTATGCTGAGAGTGCTACAAAAATCACAGATAAGCAGGAGTCACTGGACCCCTCTCTTTCCTTACTAGTTGCTGGTACCTGCTTGTCTTAGGGCTCTTGGGGTTGCAGGCAATCTGCTATATGACTATGTTAGAAGACTGTAACTCTCTGGAGCATCAGCCTATGGGAAAAGAGGGCAGGAATTTCTTATCTGGGACTTTAAAAATCACTGTCTTGTACCAAATCAGTACACCAGATATTAGTGCTGTTAATTATTACCTGATGTTAAATTTGAAGTATACTTTGGTTCAGGAGAAATATGTGGGGCTTCTAATGTCATCCCTCTGTAATAAGAACAAATTAGTGATATTTTTTAATCTTTTAGATTTTCAAATTATACTGAAAATAAAGATGTGCAATTATTTATTCTGTAGCAAAATATAACTGGTTAGAAAAATGCATCATATTTATAGTAACAGATAACAGTAACATGTACTTACACATTTATCAGTGTGACACATGTGTAGAGGAAAGCCATGATGTTTAGAGTTACACAGACCGCAGTTTAACAGCAGCTTTACTACTCAAACTTTAGTGGCCTTGGGAAAGCTACCCAACCTGTCCTGAGTCTTACTTGCCTTATTTATGCAAAGAAATGGCAAACCTGTTGCCCAGGATTTTTGTGGTAAAGATTTCAATTATGAACGATATTTTTGGAAATGAGTATCTTTCTCTCTTTGGTACCTCCACAAATGAGATTGTGTTTCATTCTAAGTAAACATGCAAGAGAAAATGAGTTATTACAAGAATGTGAAAGGATCCAAGTTCAGTGTTTGACCCCAAAACAGGGTCTGAGGAAGACAGATTTCCTTGAAGACAACAGAGTTGAAAACCAAATGTGAGAGGAGACTTTTCTAAATTCTTGTATTAGTTAATTGAAAAGTTGAATGCAGTAGAGCTCAAACTATTTTTCTGTCATTTACCTTTAAGCTCTTACTGCCTTGCTTCTAAATGAGCCTTTATGTAAGCTTCTTACTAATGCATTTTAGATATACTCTTGTTTCTTTTCAGATCGTATAAATCTTTCACCTTTTACTAATGCATCTCAGGTATTCTCTGAATAAACAGCTATTTTTAGGAGAAAAAGAGCCCAGTATGTTAGCACAACTCCAAACTTCTACTATTAAGTGTGACCCTACTCGAACTCAGTGCTATGGGAACAGCTGCCCTATCTGTCCTTCTCTAGTTCTTGTCCCCTACCCCTATCCTACCACATACACTTGTCTGACACTGGCTTTCTTTGGCATTGTATCAGTAAATCTGGAAACAGACTTTCCCCATTCTGTAGGATGCCTTTCTATTTTCTTGTGTCTTCTATAAGCATTCATTGAGAGTTAAATTATTTAAAAATTTCACAGTCTGCTTTAGTCATGATGAAAAGCTTTCAGTGGCTCTCAGTATCTTTGGGACAAAATAAAAATCCCACCCTCAAGGCCTTTCACAGTTCAGACTGTGGCCACCCTCTTGAACTTAGATCCTGTCTCTATCACAAACTCTTAGTTCGGTACACATGCCCTGAACGGAATGTTTCCTCCAATAACACACTTCTCCTCAGTCTTCCCCATGGCAATTGTATTTATATTTTTTAAGAGCTTCAACATCAAGAGATATTGGCATTATTTAATAATAACTACCTCCACAGAGGAGTTAACAAACTCCTAAAACAGAGTTTTGAGTGTTTTGAAACAATTACACAAACAATCCATTGTTATTGTTCCAATAGAGGTCAGTCTGTTCTTAAACTCTAAGAAAACTATATAAGTCATCCGCATATTTCATGGAAACTCTCAATGTCATACTGAATAGTGCATATGGTTAGAATCACCAGGGTTTAAACCAACTTTGCTACTTTTTAGCAATTCACCATGAATAGGTTTTTTTTTTTCGTTTCAGATCACCAAAAAATCTAAGAAATTAAAAGTCTAATTCAATTTAATTAGATGACGTAATTATTTGCAATCCAGTAGAATTGAGTATTTTCCCTATAATTCTGCTTTTATTTCATATAAATTTAGACAGAAAAAGGTGCCTTTCCATCTTCTTTCATGGTGAGAAAAATTGCTTTAGTAGTTGTGTAGGGACTAAAGTAGACTATCAATTCTGTAGACTCACAAGAAGCCACACTAAGACAGAACCAAAGAAGTGAAGAAAAATCTTGAAATGATTACAATCAGCACACAAAGGTGGGTATCCAAAGCTGTCTGTTAGTAGCCAACATGAATTAGTAAATACATGACTGACAAATTCCCACAAAATGAAGCCTGATTCAGTTTTGACAAAATAACTTTGATAAGGTAAAAATATACCCATTGATTTTTATCAAATGTTATTAGATATATGTGCTATTAACTCAAAATGGTAGAGTCAGCCTTGACCACTTTCTCTCACATCCCACCACTGGGTCCACCAGCAAATCTTGTTAATTCTACTTTCAAGTGTCCTAGAAGCTCAACCTCTTACCTCAGGCCTTCTCTGGCTATTCCCTCTACCTAAAGTGCTCTTTGCCCAACTTGCCCTTCCTTTAGATAACTGCTCAAATGATGTCTTCCCACCACACTATTTAAAGTAAGCAAGCTTCAACTCCAACACTCCAGAGTCCCCCTTGCTTTATTTTTCTTGATACCATCCTTTACAACACAGCATGTGGCAGCATATTTACTTGTCTATTGTCTATCTCTCTAAAATGCAATGTGGATGAGATGAGGGCAGCAATTTTGTGTTTAATTGATTTTACTCCTTACTATATCCCAGCAATTAGAACACTCCTGGCCTAGAGTAAGTGTCTCAGCAGACACTGAATGAATGTAGTTCATCTGAGCTTGTGGAATGGCAGTCATCACTATTATATAACTCTTACAATAAAGGGTTTTGAAAAGTACAATATCAAAATTTTTAGTTCTTACATTTTTCTATGGTATTCCTCATAGTTTTCTGAAGAAGAACCTATCAAAGGGGGAAAAATCAATCCATTAGACATAGAGATAATCCAAAGGCATACCAGAAGTTAAAATTGTCCTGGATAAAAATAAATATTTCTCTTCAGCATACATAGTGACAGAACTTCTGATTTTATGTTTTATTTTTATAGTGTTTTTCATATGTGTCTCTTAAATTAGGCAAAGGTATTTTGAAAATATCAAAGTAAAACATAAAAAAGTATTACAAGATACATAAATATTTTGGTAGTGCTTTATAATCTGAATATCTTTCACAACTATTTTCTTGGGAATTTTACAATAACCAAGTCAGTCAAACACACCAATTTATTTTTCCCCATTTTACATATGAGAAAACAAGGACTAGTCAGTTACAAAACCCACCAACTGCCTTATGTATTTAGCTTAATCAATGATGTCCAGGCACAGTAAGAAAGCCTATCTCAAAAAATGAGGTGGGTCAGTGAGACGAATGGGGGCAGACAGCTTGCCAAGAATGTGTAAGGTCCTAGTTTCAATCTCTAGCACTGCAAACAAACAACAGTAATAAAAAGGATTGGATTGGGTTGGGAGAAGCTCAGTCAGTAAAGTACTTGCCAAACATTCACAAGGACCTGAGTTCAATCCCAGGACTCATGTTGTGGAGGAGAAAATGAGCTCTCCAAAGTTTTCCTCTGATCTTTACAAATATGTCATGGCACACATATATGTGCATGTACCCACATCCACATACTAAATAAATGTGATTTTTAAAATTAGGGGCTGCCAAGATGGTTCCTTGGATTAAAGGTGCTTGCTGCCAAGGATGACAATGTGAATTTGATCCCCAGGACTCCTTCAGGATGCTCTTTGAACTCTATATGTGCACCATGGCACATGCAAATGCTTGAGCATCATGTGTGCACACACACACACATGCATACAGACACGTAGTAAATAAAATGTAAACAATAAAATAGGAACTCATATGTACTATAACTATTGTTAGGTATTATCTGTAGCCAAAAGCAATCTTGGCTCATTGGTTTAGATTAGAAATCATTTTTTGAGAGAGAAAAAAACTACTTTCATTTTCCAATACAGATGAGGGAATTTCCTCATGACAGAGAAAAACAAATGTAAAACTCACTCAAAATTGCTGAGAGGTTTGCAAGCTGTGGTACCTTTTCTACAGCTACTGCTTTACTGGTGTCTAGAAGAGTGGAATTCTTGCAGGTCTTGTAATCTTCCAACTTGGGATGCTCCCAATCTAAAAAGCAGAATATGTCATGGTATACACCATAAATAAGTAAATGCATAAATAAGTAAGTGTAATTTCAAAGTTTAAAAATGACATAAAACTTTGAGAAGCCTACAAGTGCCAGATTACTCCATGCCCCCAAACTTAGGGTCCTATTGGATAGAACAGAACTTAAGGATAAGTCAAAGTAAGAATCTATGGCTTATTCCAGGTGTCTGTCCTTACCTGTCTTCTGTCTAGATTTTTGCTTTACAGAGATCACTGAGCTACAGGATGGCATGATACACAGAACTACCTGACTCTCATAGTTTCAAGCCAGTGAGCAACATAGTCACACTGCTATAACCTGTATCAGTTGTAAGCTTTCTATTGACCTTGGCTATGGAAGAATAGTACTATCCCTGTTGCATCCCTGTCTGTGACTTCCTACTATGCCCATAACATAATTTATATCATCAGATATTCTTTTTACATATAGAGACTGTGGATTGAATCCAGGGTCTCATGCATGCTGGGCAAACATTCTACTACTGACATACATCTCCAGACATATTAGATATTCAATGTAGGTATCATGATGATAAAATACTACAAAAATCTTATTCTTCTGGTATACCATGGCAATATTTTGGATTTCCTGAATCAATGTCTCCCTATCTCCCCAGATGGTTTAGTTTTCTATGTATTTCATCTACTTAATCTTTTGTTTTTCAAGACAGGGTTTCTCTGTGTAGTTCTGGCTGTCCTCAAACTCACTCTATAGACCAGTCTGGCTTCAAACTCACAGAGATCTGCCTGCTTCTGCCTCCCAAGTGCTGGCATTAAAGGCATGTGCCATCACTGCCTGGGGAGACTTTGGAATTTTAGAGAGGCTTTTGATATTTTAGAGAAACTATGAACTTTGAAAGAGACTTTGAATTTTTTTTTTTTTTTTGGTTTTTCGAGATAGGGTTTCCCTGTGTAGCTTTTGAGCCTATCCTGGCACTCGCTCTGGAGACCAGGCTGGCCTCGAACTCACAGAGATCCGCCTACCTCTGCCTCCCGAGTGCTGGGATTAAAGGTGTGGCCACCACTGCCCGGCTGACTTTGAATGTTTCAAAGAGACTGATATTTTATTATTATTATTATTATTTTTAGACAGGGCCTCTCAATGTAGCCCTGGCTGTCCTGGAACTCATTATATAGACCAGGCTAGCCTCAAACTCACGGGGATCCACTTGCCTCTGTATCCTGAGAGCTAGGATTAAAGTCATGTACCACCATGAATGGCAAGTGACTGAACTTTTAAAGTTTTTTAATTTTTAAAGACTGGGACTTTGAAGAGCTGGAATGTTTTATATTGTGTTATTAATATTAACATGCCATCCTGGGGACAAATGACAAAGAAAGGCTGTAGTTGAACAGTGATGTGTTTGTATGTTATCAAGTTGATAAGCGGTCAATTATGCTGGCTAGTTTTATGTCAACTTGACACAAGGTAGAGTCATTTGGGAAAAAGGAATCTCAATTGAGGAAATGTCCCCACCAGATTAGTCTGCAGGCAAGCCTGTGTGGCATTTTCTTGATTAAAGATTGATGTAGGAGGGCCCATCTCATTGGTGATGCTGTCACCCTGCATCCTAGGGTCCTGGATGGTATGAGAAAACAGGTGAGTATGCTAAGAGGAGGAAGCCAGTAAGCATCGCTCCTCCATCAGTTCTTGCCTACAGGTTCCTGCTCTGAGTTCCCAGCCTGACTTCCCTGGACAGGCGACAGGCTGTAAGATTGTTTAAAACCCTTTCCTCTACAAGTTGCTTTTAGTGATGACATTTATGACAACAATAGAAAGCTAACTAAGCCACCAGCATCATTTGTTGAAGAGGATAGCTTTTCTTTTTTTCCTTTTTAAAAGATTTGTTTTATGTTTTATAATTTTTGAAGATTTATTTGTTCTATGTGGATGAGTGTTTTGTCTGCATATATGTCTATTTAGCACAAGTGTACAGTGCTCAAAGTGGTCAGATAAAGGGTGACAGATACTTTGGAACTGGAGTTAAAGACTGTTGTGAGTCACTATGTAGGTGCTGGAAATCCAACCCTGGTCCTCTGGAAGATCATCATCTCTCTTTTCCTTTTTTTTTTTTTTTTTTTTTTTTTGGTCTTTCAAACTGATGGCCCCGACTAGCTCAGACCATCTTTATTTATACAAGTTCTAATGCATTCATGCATGAGCAGTTTCAAATCATTTCTCTTTAATCATTTTCCAAGAATCATTAAAAATTATTCATTTTACTTTCTCTTCTTTCCCACTTCCTTGATGTCATTGACCTTTACCCCATTTCATTATATAACAAGCCAAATGTTTATATCTAGCTAGGTACATCTTATTCATACTATGTCCTAGCCATATTTGAGCTCTGTGATTAATTCTTGTGTGTGTGTGTGTGTGTGTGTGTGTGTGTGTGTGTGTGTGTGTGTGTTTAATTATTTTTAACTACTTTTCTCCAATGTTTATTTTTTGTGTATTTGTCAAAATTCAGGTGTCTGTAGCTGTATAGGTATCTATTTGGGTTCTCTGCTTTATTCTAAAGATCTATGTGTCTATTTACGTGCCAGTATCATGTGGTTTCTATTACCACAGTTCTGTAGTTTAGAACTTTAAATCATTGTTAATTGAAACATGGAGTATCATCCTCCTTGTCCAGGATTGCTTTGGCTACCTAGGATCTTTTATGCTTCCCTGCATTTTAAGATTGCTTTGTTCTGCAGCTGGGGAGATGGCTTAGTTGATAAAGTGCTTGTGAGGAGCCAAGTTTGATCCCCAGCTTCCATAAAAAAACCTGGGCATGGCAGCAGTATCTCTAATTCCAGTGCTGGGGAAGTAGAAACAGGAAGATCCTGGTGCTTGTTGGCCAGCCAGTCTAGAAAATTGGTAAGCTCCAGGTTCAGTGAGACTCCCTGTCTCAAAAAATAAGGTGGAGAGGAAAACAACCTACACACATACATGTGCACACACACAAACACACAATTGCCTTTTCTATTTCTGGGAAGAATGGAATTGGAATTTTGATTGGTATTTCATTGAATCTGCATACCGCTTTTAATAGGATGAACATCTTTATTAATTCTTCTAATTCATGGGTATGAGAGGTCTTTCCTTCTGGTATCTTCCTCAGTTTTTTTCTTCAGTGTATTAAGTTTTCATCATAAAAGGTGTAGCACTTTCTTGGTTAGGTTTAATATAAGGCACTTTATTTTGAGGAAGGATATTGTGAATTCCCAGGATTGCTTCCCAGAATTCTTTTTCAGCATGTTTGTCTTTGGTGTATAGAGAAGTTACTGGGGTATTTTAAATGTTAATTTTGCACTTTGCTACTTTACCAAAATTGATTATCAGTTCTAAGAATGTTCTAGCAGAATCTTTAGTACTGTGAAATCATCATCTGCAAATAAGGATAATTGGATTTCTTCCTTCTTTAGTCATATCACTTTTATTTCCTTTTATTGTCTTACTTATTTAGCTAGGGTATCAAGAGATATACTGAATAAGAATGAAGAGAGTATACATTTTATTATGTTTCTGATTTTAGTGGAAATCCTTTAAGTTTTTTTCTTCCATTGAACATGACATCAGCTATAGGTTTGCCATATGTACCCTCTATTATGTGTAATGGTTAGACTGGGTAGTTTTGCTTCAGATGACAGATCTGAAGACCAACTGGAACAGCTCTGTGCAGCTTTCAAGTTGTCTACAGTTGATTATTTTTACCCATTATTCTTGGGTCCCAGAGCAGTAATAGAAGTTAATTATGATATGTATTTTTTCGAGATTCTAAAAGCACAAAAGGACAAGTCCAACCAATTAAGCACATTTCCAGGCCTTTAGTGTGTTTTTTCTAACTGATATCCTGTTGCCCAAAGCAAGCCACACAGCTAATCCAAAGTGAAAGAATAGAAAACTACCACAGAAGAATGAGTAATTTAGATGAACATATCAAAACACCACAGTATTCCTCTTATTAACAGATCCTAGAGTCATCTAATCCATAGTCCCTCTGACTGAAAACATCCCAAAAGGTATGTCTTTAGAGAATCCAAGCATTTAGGATGTTGAGACATGGGAACTCAATTTCAGTTCAAGGCCAGCCTGGGTTATATAGTAAGGCCCTGTCTCAAAAGAGGCTTCTTTTGAGTAGAAAGGAAAATTTACCATACCTGCTATTTAAAAAATGACATCAATGCATATATGTATATAACTGTACAAACACAGTATATAACTGTACAAAACATATATGTATGTTTTGTAATATTTGAAAAGTTATATACACATGTGACATGTTCTTGCTTGCACGTGTTGTGCTGTCATCATGCTTCCCTCCCTTCTTCATATTATTGTCTTCTCTCTCTCTCTCTCTCTCCTCCACTAGGTCTCCTTTGCCCTAGATTCTCCTCTTCTACTTTCAAGTCACTTTTCTGTTTTGTTTCAACATATGAGAGAAAAAGACAATACTTGTCTTTTTCTGTCTGTCTTAGGATTTATGCCTTCTTCTAACTCACTGTGTCTTTAACAGTTTGTATTTGAAAAGAAAAAGGCACTTTTTTCTGTTGCAGAAAGTTATAGAGAAAAGCCTATGTTGTCTTCCATCATCACCCAAAGGCTCTATCTATAATAAATAATAAATGTAAATAAATGTGAAGAAAATTCAAGAAGGGATTGACTTAGCATGTTATATACTGAGGAGTAAGAAAACTACATGAAATAAAGGAAAACAAATAGAAGTGCACCAAGATGGCATGTATATTTAGAGAACAAATATACCTTCACTTCACTATGTGCAAATGTATTCACTGTAAGATTTATGGACAAAGCAAAATTTTACAGCACAATAAATTAAGGAGGAAATCCTACTCTCACCCAAACAGTCTGATCCTCTGAAGATTTCAGGTGATGAGAAGCTACTTCTACTCTCTTCGGTACTCTTTGTATATGAGTCTGTGTCTGAACAGCTCAGGGGACAACTGGAAACATCATGCTCCACAGTTAGCCCTGTAAAATAAAGTGAAACAAAAAAGGTTGAACAGAATAGAGAACAGAATTGGAATCCCACTTATGCACATCTGTAGAAAAGTACATGTAGTTATATACCAATAGTTTAACATTGACTTCATATACAATTAGAAAGTTATAATATTATCAATAATTTTTCTTTAAATCTTAGACAAATAAATACTTTGATGTTGATAAACACATTCTAATCCTTTTTTACTATTTCCCTAAGTTTTACCTTTATTGCCTCATCCTTATTTATTTCAGCTGTAATTCTAGCTCAAAAATTCAAGTTCTATATATAAGCAATTCACTAGCTAAAGAAGAAAAAAGGATGAATTAAGTTATTCCATCCAAAAATAAGACAGACTAACACAGAATGAAAAAAAGACCAACAAAAGACTGAAAAGATATCCCAGAAATATTCTCACATATGTGCACAGATTTTTATGAAGACATGTAAGTAGTTTAGTGAAGAAAAGATTGTCTTTTAAATAAATTGTATTAGAGTAACTCCATATGCATATGCAAAACCAAACCAAAGGTTGGATGTGTGGTAGAATACCTGCCGGCATGTCTGAAGCCCTGGGTCCAATACCTATCACAACAGAAGCCCTTCATCCCCAAAAACAAAACCCCAAAGAAAACAAAACAAAAATTGAGCTGAAGAGATGGCTCCACAGATAAGAACACCTGATTTTCTTGCAGATGGCCTGGATTTGGTCTGTATAGCAACTCACATCCACTCGTAACTCTGTTTCCATGGAATCTGAGACAGTCTTCTTGAGCACCAGACACACATGTGGTACACATACATACATGCATACACACTCTTACACATAAAAATAAATTTTTAAAAAAGCCTTAAAATTTATACGATACTCTAAGAAACTAACACGAAGGTAGGAATGTTGGTGCATGTTTCATGGAGTAGGATTACAGTCCTACCTACTCAGGAGACTGAAGCAGGGAACTCTATCTGGGTTATGGAATTTAAAGCCAGCCTGGGAAACTCAGTGAGACATTTCTTTAAAATGCAAGTATAAAAGAGATCTTGGGGGAAAGACAATGCAAAAGCAACATTATAAATAGAAGAGCTACACACTGTATGGTAATCAGTGCTCATAAAGGGCTCAGATACACATCTTTACCTGAACCAAGGCTATCAAGAAAGCCAATCTTTAGAGAAACTCAAGCAACAGAAAAATTTAGCACTTACACACACACACACACACACACACACACACACACACACACACACACCCCCCAACCCTGAGAACCATGTGAACACAAGAGCTGACCTGGATACAAACTTGGGGACACAAGTATACTTAGGCAAAGACTACATACAGGACACTGGGAAAGGCAGCCTGAACTCAGATAGTAGCAAATTGCAAAAGTTAATATAAGCATGCACAAAATATAACCCTTTTAGCTTGTGCTCATTCCTACTTTACTTCCCTTTCCCTACTTCCTCTTTACTTTTTTTTTAAAATTTGAGACCTGGAACTCACTATGTAGACTAGTCTGTCCTGAAACTCACAGAGATCCTAATGCCTCTGGCTCCTGAGCACTGGGATTAAAGGTGTTATTCATCATGCATGGCTTCTTTTTTATTTTTTATTATTAATAATTTTAACTTCAATAATCTTTAAATTACTTGCTTATTCTCTTAGTCTCCTAGCTCCTTATTGGGAATGTAGGCAAAGTATTCAATTGTTTTTTATTGCATTTTAGTATCTGGTTTGTTGTTAAATTGTTTCTGTTACAGTTGTCTGCTTCTCCCCTATCAATGATAGTGGGGAATCCTGTGCCCAAGAAAAGACCACCCACAAAGCTGTAAGTACAGACAGCTGAACAGTCACAATGAGATGTTCTTCTGATAGATCTGAGCAAAGGCTGAAGGCTAGCCAGTACCACACACATGCTGCATTTTCTTCTTTACCAAGAGATTTAGACACATCTTTGATAATTTATATTAATAACAATGGCTCCTGTGCACAGCAAAGAGAAGCCAAGAAAATTACAATAAAAATGCATCAAACAGCAGGACATACTAAAGCATTTTCTCAGTGGATCTAGATACTTTCATATTTCTAGATGTTGGCACTGATGTCAAAATAGATTTTGATTTTTGCTTCTGTAAGCTTTCTTGTCAAAGGAATCATATTATGAAAGACCTAACAACCTGATAACTCACAGAAAGAAATCATCTATGTGTCAGTGTCTTTGAGGTAAAAATTTTCTATTTGTAGGAGCCAATAAAATTCCAGTCTGGAGAATGAATAAGTCCAGTGCTGAAGGTGAATTTAGACTTTCATTATCACTGTTGATATTCAGGGTCTCCTTAGAAGAAAGCATGAGCCCTTTCTTTTAATACTGCTTATAGGTTTTAAGCCAATTCTGTTGTCTTAATTTTGTCAATAATCAAGTGTCACCAGGGAAATTTTCATTAGATGGTGATGCTGATTGAAAAAGCAAATAACATGTTCTCCTAAGTGTCTTCTTGCGTATTTATGATGCACATGTGCAGACGTAGTCATTGTGCTGGGTAGTTTTATGTTAACTGACACAAGCTGAAGTCATCACATAAAAGGGAGCCTCAACTGAGAAAATGCCCCAAAAGATGGGGTTGTAGGCAAACCTGTACGGCATTTTCTTAATTAGTGACTGATGTGTGAGGGCCCAACACATTGTGGGTGGGGCCATTCCTGGACTGGTTGTCCTGAGTTCTATAAGAAAGCAGCAAGGGAGGTCAAGATCATGAAGGGGAAATCTACAGAGACAGCAGAACCAAGCTCCTGGAAACTCATGAACTCTAGACTGACAGCTGTGGAGCCTCCACGGGACTGAGCTAGGCCCTCTGCATAGGAGACAGTTGTGAAGCTTGGTTATCTGAAGGGACCCTAGCAGTAGGACCAGGATCTATCACTGGTTCATGAGCTAGATTGTGGGAGCCCATTCCCTATGGTGGGATGCTGTGCTCAACATTAATGCAGTGGGGAGGGGCTTGGTCCTGCCTCAACTTTATGAACCAGGTTTTGTTGACTCCCAATGGGAGCTCTTACCCTTTGAGAGGAGTGAATGGATGGTGGGCTGGAAGGAAGGCGAGGGAGAGTAGGAGGGAAAACTGTGATTGGAATGTAAAATGAAATATAAATAAATAAATAAATAAATGCAGGCTGAGCAAGCCATGGGGAGTAAGCCAGTAAGCAGCACCCCTCCATGGCCTCTGCATCAGCTCCTGCCTCCAGGAGCTCATTTGAGTTCCTCTCCTGACTTCCTTCAATACTGAGCAGTAATGAAAAGCATACTCCCAATCAACCCTTTCCTCCCCAACTTGCTTTGGTTATGGTGTTTCATCACAGCAATAGTAACTCTAACTAGGACAGTCATCTTCATCTTAACAAGCATAGTCTCTCAAAAGCCAAGATGCCCCTCAACCGAAGAATGGATGAAGAAAATGTGGTACATTTACACAATGGAGTACTACTCAGCAGAAAAAAAAATGGAATCTTGAAATTTGCAGGCAAATGGATGGAACTAGAAGAAATCATCCTGAGCAAGGTAACCCAGTCACAAAAAGACAAACATGGTATGTACTCACTCATATACGGATTTTACCTATAGAGCAAAGGATTACCAGCCTACAATCCACACCACTAGAGAAGTTAGACAACAAGGAGGACCCTAAGAGAGACATACATGGCCCCTTGTTGAAGGGGAAAGGGACAAGATCTCCTGAGAAAATTGGGAGCATGGTGGGAGGGGAGAAGGAGTTAGGAGAATGAGGAGAGAAGAGGAAAGTGAGGAGGACATAAGTGAGTAGGAAGTTTGTGTAGGGGGAAGAATAGAGGAGAGAAAAATAAAAAATACCATCAGAGAGGGAGCCAGTATAGGTTTAAAGAGAAATCAGCCACTAGGGAAATGTCCAGAGATCTACAAGGATGACACCAACTAACCATCTAAGTGACAGAGGAGAGGCTACCTTAAATGCCCTCCCCTGATAATGAGATTGCTGACTGACTAATATGCCATCCTAGAGCCTTCATCCAGCAGATGGAAGTAGAAGCAGACATCCACAGCTAAACACTGAACTGAACTGGAATCCAGTTGCAGAGAGAGAGGAGTGATGAGCAAAGGGGTCCAGACCAGGCTGGTAAAACCCACAGAAACAGCTGACCTGAACAAGGAGGAGCTCATGGACCCCAGACTGATAGCTGGGAAACCAGCATGGGACTGATTCAGACCCCAGGAACGAGGGTGTCAGAGATGAGACCTCAGAAATCCATGGGGCCTCCTGTAGTACATCAGTACTTATCCCTAGAATAGGAATGGACTTTAGGAGCCCATTCCACATAGAGGATACTCCCTCAGCCTAGACACAACGGGGGAAGTCCCAGGCCCTATCCCAAAGGACATGACAGACCCTGAGGACTCCCCTGAAAGGCCTCACTCTCTCTGGGGAGCAGAATTGGTATGGGATAGGTAGGGTGTTAGTGAGGGGCAGAGGAGGAGAGGAGGGAAAGGGAACTGGGATTGACATGTAAAACAATCTTGTTTCTAATATAAATTAAAAATGAAGAAAAATAAATAAATCAAATTCAACAACCATTTGAAAATCTCCAGTCACAGTTTTTATGGAATTGGCATCTGGCTTGATATTTTTCACAAGGGTTCAAGAAGTAAAAGTTTAGATTTTCTCTTATAGTCTCTCAGAATCAAGAGGCACCATTGCATTGTATGTCACCCTGGGCCCACTAGGCCAAAACTTGGGTCCACACTGGCAGGTCCACTCCTCAAGGCATGATGCAGCCTTGAGTTGCAGGAGGATG